CTTTTCAACGTGGAGTCAGAGGTAAGGAGTAAATCTAAGATGCAGAGGTGAGAGGGAACCTGCAGCCAAGAGAACCGAGGCGACTGACGCAGCACCATGTGATAAGTGGTTCCATATGTGCTCTACATCCCAGTAAAAGAGCTGCTTTGTGCTGAGGTAGCAGCGCCGCCCCCCCCAAACCCCCCCCATCAGCTTACTTTTTTCAGTTGCTCAGTCGTGGCTCCTGGTATACCGGTGCGCTCCGACCTAACCTGACATGTCTGGAACTGTATCAACGTTCCTTCAAGTGAATTCTTAAATACCATTTTTTTCCGATGACTGACGGCCTGACTCAACATTTCACTTTGTTTCCCGTTCGCTCTATAACTGATGTCTGCGCCACTGTGTCGCCCATTGTCAAATCAGCGTTCCCACTGGTGGAGCTGAACATCAACAAACACTGACACGGTGTGCAACATAAGGCTGATGTGAGCAGCACAGGACGCTGAGATTATATCACAGCTGCTGGATAAAGTCCAAGCTGATCTTTAGCTAACCTAGCGGACCTAGCGTAGCCCAGCATTCCTACCACGGTGCAGTTCCTCTACAAATAAGACACGTTCATTTACAGAGAACAACCTTCCCTTCTGTTTGGGAGAAATGGAGCAAAACCTTCAGCCGCTACCCATCAGCCCCTGCTCTGCTCTGGTCCAGCAGCTGCTGCAGCAGCGACTGGTCCAATCACGGCTGACCTCAGTGCTCCGTCTCTGTCGTTCCACACAAAATGCAATAAATATTAGAAAATACTTTAAGGGAACCCAACACTGTTGTCCCAGGGTCTGTATCTAATCTGGAATCCCAGCTACGTCAAACGTCTCCGAAAATACAACATTAAAGGTGGAACCAAGGATTCTGGAGCAGCTGGAGTTCAAAAAATATTCAAAACTACAAAAACTACATATTATCAGTCAAAAATTTAAATTAGGGGTGTAAAAAAAACATCAACTATTCTGAAGTATCTCCTGATCCCAGATCAATCTCCTCAGTCATTGATCAGTTATTGATTTTTTTTCCAATATTCCTGGTGTTGGTTCTTGTTCTTGTTCTTTTCTTTCTTCTCTGGTGATTCCCTGACTACATATCGTATGGTTGACCCTGTATGTTCAGGTTTTGGACCAGTACACACCACTATTCTAAATCCTACAAACACACTGGCGGTGCGTTCAGCCAATCACAGCCTGGTGTTGCCCACACGTGACCAACCAACATCTGGCCTCGACTGACCTTCACCTTTGTGGCTGCTCAGGAACACGGTCCTAGTGTTTCATGTGACAGCGTGTGT